CGCGATATGGTTCATGGGGTCACGAAGAGTCGGACATGACTTAACGACTGAACAACAAATTATTATCATTGTGCTTTCTCTCCTTTATATTCTCCAGAGTAGAATATAAAAAGCTTTCACAAAATGATCTTCCAGAAAAGCATTTCAACTAAAACAATGAGCAATAAAAGATAGTGGTCAATCTTCCTCAATCTGGTGTGCCCCCCGCCCCCAGTATGTTCTGGGACTGCAACTCCCAGCATTCTCAAAGACAATACTGGTTAAACTGAAGGATCTGCAAAACATCGGAAGGGTGCTAGGCTGGGAAGGGTACACAGGTTATGTTAGACAGGCTAGGGAGCACATGGTTTTTAGTGAAAGACCAAAAGGAGTGAAAAGAATGAATAAATACTTCCCTCTGCATGCCAGTCTTTGCCTTCAGGTTGTCTGTAGTAAGTGTGAAGACAAAAACTCAGGTGTGGGGAAAAGAAAAGACTGTTTGCTTCTCTGAAATGATTCCAGTCTTCAGAATACAGTCAGCTCAGTAAGAAATGAGCAACAGTCTATGTCTGCTTTGGCTCTAGAGTTGTCATCGGCAGCAGTAGCCAATGACGCTACTTTAATCAACACTTATTTCAAAGTTCAGAAAAGAGAAAGAGAGCCAGGGACTCAGCACTGGATATAGCAAAGTTTCGAGTGCATTCTTTGATGCAGAGTTTCTGTCTCTCTGCAGTCCTGGCTCAATCAAACTGCTTCCCATGGCCAGAAGAATTCTAAGTATATCAAAGTAACTGGGAACTCACTCAAAAAGTAAAAATAATTCTCTGAGAGGGGAGGCAACTTTATCTCCCCTAAGGTTCAAACTTCAGCCTCTTTTTCCAGATTCCTTAACAAGAAACAGAGCAAGCAAATCCATTCACTTATATAGACACGGAAAAGGACCTGAAGTAGCATAACTTTCCAGGGGTGAACATAACTGCTGATTCTCACATAAAAGAAAATGCAGACAGGGAGGAGAAAAACTCGGCTTTCACATAGAGATAGCAAAATAGCTTCATTTTTACTTTGTAGGTTTTGAGTAAGCTTTTGAAATTGGTTATTCGTACTGACTTTCTCCTTTCTGGAGGAATGGAAGGTTGGACTGTAACCTGGCCATTGGTGCATATGGTGGATCTGTAGCTTTGGAACTGTGAAACTGGCTCCGGTCAAAGGCCTGAAGGTGCTCACTTTCTGTGTGCCTGGCAAATGGGGAAACTGCATGTGACCCAGAAATCTCTTCACTTAGTGCAATGACTTTGAGCCATCACACACACAGGAGGCAGAGAGGAAAACAGTTGGGGGAAAGCTGCAGGGATAAAACCAGATGGGCCCCATTCAGCAGAGAAATTACTGCTGCTCAACAGCTAAGTGGCAGTGAGGATCATCTCAAACCCATCCGCTTCAATGTCACGGTGAGAAAAATGATTGCTAGGTTAAAATCTTCCTTTACTGTTAACTGCAAGGAAGATCAAAAGGACAAAATGCCACACTCATATAATTTATAACAGTAGAAATGGTTTTGAGATGCTGTTTCTGCTTGCTGCCAAAGATCAGACTTTATTCTTTATTTATTACTGAAAACCTGTAATTGCAGTTGCCCTTATTTATTAGACTTGGCAGAGGGCCATGACCGAGAGCATCTTTTGAAAAGGACCCACAAAAGACAGAATTGATAGAGGCCCATTGTGATGGCCTCTCTGCCATCCAGGATTGTTATCAACCACTATACAGAAAGAAGGATGAGTCTCTTAAGAAGAGACTTCTGGAGCAAGGAATGAATTCTCTTTCCATCCTCAGGGGGTTTAGGTCTGACCAGTTATGTGAGGGACTGCCTATCTCCCATGGTTTCTGCCTGGCCAGTATGAGCCAACAGAATGGGCATGCTCCGGGTCCCCTCAATGAAACAGTGAGACCCAGGAAGCATGCCTTCTCTGTCATGGTGCCTGCCCTCTGGAATGAGATTCCCCTAGAGATCTCCGTGGCTCCCACCCTGATGGCATTCCAGAGGGCCTTAAAGACCTGCGTGTTCTCCCGGGCCTTGGGCAGGCTGGATGGAACCCCTTGCTAGGAGTACTTTACATAAGTTGCATATGTTTTGGTGTTGGTTGTCTGGACCTTCCATCTTCTGTATTTCTTTCATTGTATTTTTATTTACCTTATGTATTTTTATCTCGTTTCCTTATATTGTGAGCTGCTCAGAATTGGCTTGGATTTGGGCACCACAGAAATAAATAAACAAACAAACAAACAAACAAATAATGGGGAATCTGGAAGCTTGTTTGCAAGCTTCTCTGGAGTTCCTAGGCAAAAAGCCAAATTGGTGTTAAAAAGCTTTCTGATCCCAGCTATACCGCAAGACACATTGATAAAATTTTGTTTGACTCCAAGTATTCTCCCAGGGAGCATGGACCAAACAGAATATCTAGATTACTAGATTCAAAATCTCTCCAAGCACAATACGAGTTCCTACAAGTCATTCCAGAAAATTGTGGGAAAGAACCCAGGAATAGGCTTTATAGCACCCTTAGGAGATGGTATTGCAAATGTGCTTTACATTTGCGGATTCTTGGAAGTCCAAAGCAGCCTAAATCACAAGGAATAGGGTTAGGCAGGAAAAAATAATGCTGGGCGACAGACATGGGCAGAGATAATCAGGCTATGACAAAGATGATGGTATCTCCAGTTTGCACATATAGCATAATCAAGCTGCTTGGACTGACCTCACACTTCCCAAACACTCCAAGGGAAGCAGAGAGATGGAGTTACTGGATAATAACATACTGAATAAGGATTGCACCTGCATGGGATAGAGTTAGAATCTTGGGTCTTCTCCAGGCATCAGCCACTGGACAGGCAGGTTAGAGTGATATCCAGGTGCATGTTTGCACACCTAAGGTTAAATGTCTCTATGCATGTTCCTCCTAGAGATTCCAGATCTGGCCAAGATGACATACCCTTAGTTACAGCCTGTTTGGACTAGTGACACTTTTAGTTATTTCCTGACTGGTAATGTGCCATAGGTGAGACTATTTTTCAAAAGAGTTCAGAAATTTTCAAAAAGAGTTCAGAATTTTCAAAAGAGTTCAGAAACTTTAGCTGATCTAGAACACTGCAGACTGATAAGGACTAATTGTAAGGGCACCGATAGGGCATTATACTCCAACAAGAGAGTATACTGCATTCCAATAGGGGTAGTCTCATTGGCTACCAATCTGTTTCTGGGCATAATATGAAGTGTTACTTAGGGCTCAATATGACTCAAGATAACTTAGGATAAAGCTGTTGGAAATATATCATTTGAGTCTATCCAGACTTTAAGATCTGAAGAACACATTTGAATTTCCACCTCATTTGGTGGGAATGCAAAAGAAGGCCTTCTTGGTCGCTGCTCCCAAATTCTGGAATTCCTTGCCAAGGGAAGTAAAAGTTGCTCCCCCACTGTTGGGCCACAGGTGACTTTCAATATTTTTTAGAGGAGGTAGGTATATATATCTGAGGAGCCGTCTTGCCCCTGTTATATCAGCCCGCCCCACTCAATCGGGCAGAAGAGGCATGTTGTGGACCCCACCAGTCAAGGAATTTCAACTGTCGGGGTCTAGGAAGAGGGCCTTTTCTGCCGTGGCCCCCGCTCTGTGGAACAACTTATCACCTGAGGTGCGGTGTGCCCCCACTCTCATGGCCTTCAGGAAGAGTGTGAAATCTTGGCTATGCCAGATGGCCTGGGGTCTGAGGGGGGCTCACACCACTGGAATTGGCTCGTGGGGTAATTGATTCTACCCTCCACCCCCTCGTCATCTTGAACGTTTTGAGTCTTTTTATGTATATGGACTTTTTATATAGTTTGACTTTTTAACTAAATTAATGTGTCATTTATATTTTTAACTGTTTTTGAGGTTTTATTTTAACCGTGAGCTGCCCAGAGTCACCCTCTGGGGGAGATGGGCAGCATATCAATTTAATAAATAAATAAATGTAGATCAATCACAGTCTCCCAGGTTTGTTGTACCTATAGATAAAGTACCCCGCCTTACCTGAATACTGTTGCTGCATCTGGGGTGGGCTGCAAGGAGAAGGGGACTGGGGCATCTGGTACTGCTCTGTACCTGGAGGCTGCAAGAAGCCAACAGAAGGGCTAGAAAGGGGAAAAAAGGAGACCATTTGGGGCAGGTGATCATCATGATGGAGATAACACTGTATTTCTACTGAGTGTTCCTCAGCCACATTGTGCTCAGCAATTTTCACCAGTCTAATGCTATTTGGTTGATTTCAATTAAGGGGATGCTTATTCAGGGCTACAGAGAATAGGAACGTCTCTCAGTATACACATTTCCTTTTTCTCTGGCTGCTAGTACTGGGCTCGTCCCAGAGAGGTCTATCAGCGTAAGAGGCGACTGGTTAGATCAGAGTTACCCAAGTGAAAAGAGGCAGCCAACAAGCCTGCTGAGCACAAAAGCTGAGGCTAAAGCTGAAGCTCCCCAATGATTTTCAGATGATTCAAGCAGGCAGATCTTGCCTAGGGTTTATGCCAATTCTGAGGAGCTCACGCATTGTTAGGACACAAATACTAGCAACCTGCTAAGACTATGGATGCTCCTAAAGAAATCAGAGAGGGAAACTGCTGGAGCAGGATGCTTTTGCTATTTACTCAGAGGAGAAATGAACTCTATAGTGACTTCTATCATTTAAAAACCAGAATTTACAGAAATGAAAAGTGGTGTATAAATATGGTGAATATGCCAAAATAAATAACATTGCTTCATAGAAGCTTCCAGGTTTGACAGATAAAGATCTTGTGAACAACTCTCTCCTGACTTCTTTTCAGGTGGCCTTTCTGCTATAATTCATCACTGGGTTAAAATGTATGCATTACTTTGGATATTTCTTTTTAAACAGAAATGTAGCATAGAAAGACTTTTAACACATGCCCATAAATTTACTCTGGCCTTGCACTTTACTATATTTCTTGAGGATCTTTGTCTGTTTCTCTCTCTCTCTGCTGGATTAGAACCTGGGAGACCATGAGTTCAATTCCTTTCTTAGGCACAGAAGCGGCTGAACGATTTTGGGCCAGTCACTCTTTCTCAGCACAGCGTGTTTCACAGGGTTATTGTTGTGAGGAAAGTAGGAGATTGGGCCACTATGTATGCAGTCTTGAGTTGCACAAAATAAAGGCAGGATATAAATCTGGTAACTAAGTCAATCAATTCCTTTTTTAAAAAACATCATGAACCTGAATTCTGGTAATAAAATTCTCAAGCTAATTCAAATAGCATAAAACAAGCAAAGCCCTTCCCTTAATCTAATGCCGGAGATTTTAATTCTTTTCTTTTAACATGGCATCTAAAACCCAGCAAAACAGGAAGTTTTTTAAACAAGTAAAGAATGCTGATCTATCAAGGGAATCCCTGGAAGAAAATAATGATCCTGAACTGACGTTTCCCCCAAACAGAAGGGTTATGTAGAGGTTTCGCTCCTGCTCATACCTGGTGCCGTTCTGCTGGGCTGGGGGGATAACACTGTAATAGACTGGCATCCCTCCAGCCTGGAGCCCTCCTTGCACAGACTGGTTTGCTGGTACCAGCACGGGCTGCTGAAAGGGTTGTTGGACCACGCCTTGAGAGTCATTCGCTACTGGCACCTGCTTGGGGAATTAAAGAGCAGAAGGGAGAGAATACATGATCTTGGGAAGAGGCGGTGAAGGGAACCCTGAGTACAGTATAGAGCAAGAGTGGGAAAAACATCAGGCTCCCCCTCTCTCCAATATCAGAATCTATTTGACCTCTAAAATTCTCCCTTTCAGTCTCTACAGCTCTGGCAAGAGAATATTGATTTGGCAGGAATTCTTCTGTGGTTTAAAAACGAGAGAGTACATTACTGTGGAAAAGGCAGTTTGTATTCAACAGGGCACTCTTTCCTCCACACTCATCTGCTAGCCTTGTCCAGTCCACCCCATTCTTCCACGTTCTCCTTTTCAGGGTCTCATGCGCTCTTATTTCTTTTTCAGATCTTATCCACGCCCAGAACAAACTCCAACGTATGAAGACTGAGCCTATCAATGCCTCCTTATTTGCTGCGTCAAAAATGCAGCCATACTTCAAGAACTACTGTACTTCCCAGGAATCACCCACTACAGACCCATGCAAAATTCACTCCGGATAGACAAGGGCTCTCAAACAGCAGCCCATTCTAAAGAAATGCTACAGTTCTGAGGAGTTTGGAAACTCTGTGTGGGCACCTTTCATGAAGTTGGGAAGCAAAAGTTCTTGCACAGAATACAGATCTTTGATTATATAGTACATTGTGTGTAAGCTATCCAATGAAGGTGGCTTATCTTTTTCCAGTTTACACAATACCTAGCATACAGTTACTGTCCACTGACTGGAAAAGCTTTCTAGAACTGACATGACACCTGGCTTCCAGAAGGAAAAGGAAAAAAAAAAAAAAAAAGGCTGGGGAAAACAACCAACTTATTTCTAGGACCCCCTGAAAGTGAAAATACAGAATTAGCCACTGGGATGTTTGTCTCAGTTCACATTTGTCAGCAGCAGCGTTTTTTGTTTTATTTTCCCAGATCTGAACTGTTCACTTCTATTGCCCGGTTCCCGCTTTGAAGTGTAATTGTTCATATTGTCGGTTTTGTATGAAATAAAATGACTGAACAGGCTAGATAAATTTTGGATTTCTGAAAATGTTACACCAAGTTTGGAAAAGCAGCCTGAAGGTTTCCAAGCCATGTAGAGCCTATGTGGGGTTCGCTTCTCTCATACCAGGTCCCCGGTGCTGTAACAGCAGAATTGCGACTTCCCTTCCCTTCCCTTCCCTTCCCCTCCCCGCTCTCCATTCTTGGTGCCACTTACTTGATATGAAGGCAGTGGAGTGTACTGGACCATTAGGCCTTGCATCTGACCGCCCATGTTTCCCCGCTGGCTGCTCAGGAGGCTCTGGCTCTGGGACTGCTGCACACCCATCATGCCCTGCATCTGGCTACCCATGCTGCTGCGCTGGCTGCTGAGGAGGCTCTGACCCTGGGGTTGCTGCACTCCCATCATGCCTTGGTATGACTGCTGCTGGTTGGACAGGATTGGCTGTAATCCTGCATCGGAACAAGAGAGCGAAGATTACAGCTGGGACCCGCAGGTGGGGGGCATCTGTTGTGTTTTCAGTCCAGCCAGCCACTCTGCCTTCTGTGGCCACTGAGCACATTTACCCTTTTGGTGGGGTAGGGGAACTTTTGAGTTTGCTCCTGAAGATTTTCTTCTTCCTTCTCCAAACGGAAGGAGAGCTCCCCTGAACATAACGATATCTCCCTTAGCAGCCTTCATAGCATGGTATATCTTATTGCTGTCTTTTCTTCAGTACCTTTTTGAAGAATATGTGGGAAAATTGACTGTGTATGCATGGTGCACCTCTTCTCTGACCAGTGAATTGCACTACTGTATATGATTTTCAGAACTGATAAATATTTAGGAGTTTAAGCGGGTGGAAAGTCAAAAAAGCTCAGCTAATATGAGGGTCAAACTGTACATTGGCTAAATGCAACAGCTGTTAACAATGCAACTGTTGTGTGCTTGGCTCCCCTCTTCTCTAACACTTCTAAGGGAAAAAACTGCAATGTGTGGAGTCATAATATTCTGTCATTTCTCCACATCCTCCTACTGCTGGCATGGGATTAAAACATTCATAGCAGAGAGACATCATGCTGTGAGTTAAATTCTTACTAACTCAGGGGTGGGCAACTTGCAGCTCGCATATGCCATCCAGCCCCCCCCCCCCCAATATCATAACGCCATACTGCTAAAATACAGCAGTTAACTAGTTAGTTTGGCAGCACTATTTTTCATAGTATTTTTTTCCAACCTACCCTCCCCATTCCCACTCTTACCTCTTCCCCCACCCCCCAAAAAAGCCTGGAACAAAATCAGCCTCACCCCTTCTGCTGGCACCACCGTTTTTCTGCAGCTGCCCCCCTGCGATCCCTTGCAAAGTTAAACAGCTGATAGTAGCCTCTAACCCTTCAAATGCTGCCTACCTCTGTACTATCTATTGCAGATGACTTGCTCAACATGCAGCTGCCATATTATGCAGGTATGATGGAAACTTAAACTAGTATCTTTTCTAGCCCAATGTGTATCCAATTCTGGTGGGTTCATCCCACTGAAGATACTATTTTAGTGCCTCCTTTGCGGAAAGAGATCCAAAGTTCTGCAGCAGCTTTCCACTGTAGCCTCCAAAACCACAGCTAAACCAGCTTCCTTTACATTTCCGCTCATATGTTTCAATGGGCCCTCCTTGCTTCATCAGCTCCAGTTGACTAGTCTCTCCAAAAGACTGGTTTTCAATAAGTACAGCCCTTCAGACTTGAGTTTTCAAATGCATGGAAAATCCATAGAAGGTAAGAGCTTAAGGGCACACACAACCTGCTCATGCCTTACGGCTGAGCTAAACTTGCCCTCACAAAGATCTTTAACGTGTCTAGGATTCAAGCCCTATAAATAGGGTGGCTCGTCTGGGTTCCAAGAAAGGGCAAGATGGCTTAGCTCTCCCTGGCAATGCTGAACAAGTACAGGTCCCCCCCACCTTGCTTGAACACTGCTCATCTGGAGACTTACCAGGCTGCTGGGACTGTTGAGGCAGCTGTGGGCTGCGCTGGGGGCTGTAAGCCACCGGGTGCGAGAGAGGCCGGTACTGCTGGCTGGAGTTTGGATATTGCCCAGGAGGGTAGTAAGAAACCTGAATCTGCCAGAAGGAGAAAGGATGTTGTCAGAGAATAAAAACAAAGGACAAGAGGTAGAGAAGAGAGCAAGGCCGAGCTCCTAGTGGGTCAAAGGCAGGGGCTCCAGCTCTCAGTCAGTTGCAGGTAGCGTCAAGGGGACCTTTATTAGTAAGTTTGGTTGTGTTGCATTTAATGACTGTACCCCACCGAGAGTTGGTCCAGACTGGTAGTATAGACAACAAGCAAGCAAATAAGCTTCGGTGAGGGAGAGCCAGTCTCTCTTTGCAGTCTCCTAAAAGAAAACTCAGTCTTGCCCCTTGCAGCACAAACAAAATGTATCCACAAACACATATCCAAAACACTAATTATTAGTTCTTTTTTTAAATTAATTTTTATTATAAATTAATTAATGTAATTTATTAATTTTAATAAAGTAAATACAAATTTAAAGAAAAAAGTAAAGAAATGTAAAAGAAAAGTGATAAGTAAATAGGAAAGAAAGAAAGAAAGAAAGAAAGAAAGAA